CGGCGGCGGCAACAATACTACAGCGAGAATAAAAGTTACGCCTTCTTTCTTTGCGTGAACATTTGGGCGGCGTTATGCAAATCTTCCCACATAGTGAGGTAGACATGTGGGGGCGTGTTAGAACAAGCCGTTTTAGGTAGGCGTGGCTGACTCTTAACTTTTATAAAGAATATCTCTTTGGATTTGAGACTTTAGTCTTTGCAACTTTACAGATCTTCTTTATGCACCAAGAGCTTGTAACACTTCAAAGAGAAAGGAAAAATTGAAATCGCATCATATGACCCATTTAATATTTACATTTATTCATTTATCAAATCTCAAATCTAGCTGTCTTAAATCTAGCTGTCAATCCAAACAACATTATAGGCACGCTCATATTATATTACATTCATGTGCTTTCCAAAACTCCTATAGGTAGTTGACTGTTTCTCGAGACACAGCCCATATGAGGTTTTGTGTCCTTTCACCTAGTAAAAGGAACAGAGTCTGTTGTTCTTCATGGAACGTGTGATTTAAAAAAAAAAAAATATATTTTTTTTTATGATATCTGTGATCTCTCTTTCAGTTTTGGAATGTATCCTGTGTTCCTTTATCCATTTTTATAAATCCGTGTTTTGCCTTCCCAATTGTTTTTTTGGTGCTTGCACCTCTCTTGTTTCTTGACTTAAAGAAAAGGGACGTTTCTATACATATTTCTATTACGTATTTCTCTGTTAGGAGACCTCAACTATAAGGGTTTTTCTGCAAGTCCAGTCAAGCCATTACAAAGTAAGCTTTGTACGTGTCCTGCTAATATTATATAGGCCTAAATGTTTGTGTGTGTATGTGTGTATATGTATATATATGTATATATACACACACACACAAAATATTTTCATATATATATATATATATATATGTTAGAAGATATTTCTATTTCAGCTAAATTATGTTCAAATTCTACATTCATCAATGGGTCCTAAAAATGTATCAGGATAAAATTGTTGTAAAGGAATGATACATTGATGATAATTTCTTGAGCAGCAAATCAGCATATTAAAATGATTTCTGAAGGATCATGTGATGCTGAAGACTGGAGTAATGGCTGCTGAAATTTCAGGTTTGCCATCACAGAAATAAATTACATTTAAAAAAAAATGTAAAATAGAAAACAGTTATTTTAAATTATAATAATATTTCACAGTATTACAGTTTTAACTGTATTTTTGATCAATGTAATGCGCCCTTTGTGAGCCTAAAGCCCCGTTCACACCAATAACGATAACTATAAAGATAACTATAAAGATAACGATATTAGTGTCCACACCAGCGAACGATATCGTCTGTTTATTCTAAGCGCACATGCGTCTGCCGCTTTAAATTCTCGAGCTCGTTACAGCAGGATGGATTCTGATTGGCTGTCAGTGTTTTATCGTTCATCAGCTGGAAAAAAAACGTTTTGAAAGTGATCACAACAATATCGTTCCTCTGTATCGTTATCATTATAGTTGTGGTGTGAACTATGCTATTCTTTAATATTGAGAACGATTTTTAGAATTATATCTTTATCGTTATCTTTATAGTTATCGTGCTTGGTGTGAACGGGCCTTTAGAGACTTCTTTTCAATGGATGTTTATTTATGAATTTAATGTTTAATTTTCTTTACCAAAAAATAAATGATTTTCAACAAATAATTAAAAGTTTTATTTATAGTGAAAAAAGCTATAATTCAAACGCACTCTTTTGCTGAAAAATAATAGCATACTGTGAAAAAACATGACTTTTAATTTTTAAACTATTGTAGCTGTTAAAATAGCAAGAATGACTTCCAAGTCATTCTTGTAATTTTAACAATGATTTGCAAGACGATCCCAGTGACCGTTCCGTCAACTGGCTCCTTCCCCCATTGTTGCACTTTATTGTTTACATTCTCTCAGATGCATTTCATGTTCTTCATCTTCATACTTTTCAGTTGCCACATTCCCTTAAGAGAAATCACTCGCTACGATCAGTTCAGTTCATTTCAGCCCATCGCTCCTCAGCTTTAAACAATCTACCACCTCACATTTATCTGTTTTCTCACATTTCAGTGATGCTGTCACCGGGGAGTCCTTCCAAATGGCAAGTGCGAGATTCCCTCTCCTTGACCCCCAGTCTCCTCTACAGCGAGAGTGACCAGACGGAGGATGAATCGGAGGTCTTCTCCTCTGAGAGTGAGGCTGCAGGAGTTGTGCCTGGTCCAAAGCCATGCTCCTTGGCCAATGGGAGCTCTCATAATTCAAAATTGCCTCACACCCTTGTGAACCAGTGGAGTGGTAGAGCTGAAAATGTTCAAACTGGATGTTCCTCAGCGTCTCCAGCCTACACCGGTCAGACCTCAACATCAGTTGAAAGGATTCCCACAGAGGGGGACCGGAGGTTTGCACGCAAAGTGAGTCTGAAAATCTCTTCACCCTGTTTAAAATGTCTTGTTTTTTGATTTATTTAAACACAAAAGTCATACCAACACAAACAATTAAGAGGTCATCATATACTCATTATTTTATTTTTATGCTGAGATAATTTGTCTCCGCTTATAAAGTTACAGTCCGTTTTTATTTAGGTTTTATTTCAAACAATCAGGGAAAGTGTGATTCCTTATGTTTCTTTTAAAATTGCTCAAGCCTCTGAGTTACGCAGTTTATAAATCTGTCGTGCCTCTGTATTTTTAAATGTTTCTATGACGATAAATATGTATTAATAAATTTCTCTTACAGTGTGCAGAGATGCATGGGTACATCAGACCCCTGTTGGAGCTGTTGAAGGGGCTGAAAACAGGTCGATATGATAAAGGTAATGCACAAAAAAATGTCATATAACCTACCTTTCAAAAGTAGGGTCTGTAAGATTTTTATTCAGCAAGAATGTACTGGATTGTTCAAAAGTGTCATTAATAAATAAATAAATAAATAAATAAATAAATAAATATATATATATGAAAAAATAAAAATCATGTACTCTCTGGTGGGTTGACCAAAAGATTGATTGATTAATCTGTCTTAAAGTGGACTTGAATATTAATTGGGCTGGTTTTAGGCTCAGCTGACTAGGATCACCTGCTTCTCTTGGAGACATTTCCATAGGAAGTGTTTTTTTTTGTTTTTTTTACTATTTTTAATTTGAAAACACATTTATGGCACAAAACGCTCAGATAAACAGCTCATCTGCATGTTTATGAGCTGGGTTTAAAGGATTTTACCATGCTAACTGTCTAACAGCTAAAGCTAACTAGCTAATTAAAACTTTGCAGATAAAACAATTAAAAGCAAACAAACAAAAACTAAAACTAGTTGTATATCACGATTCACTACTACTTTCGAAACATGCTATGACGGAGGACTTATACTAAGGCAATAGGAAAACTCTGCAACACAAGTCAGCTAATTTATTTGCGTAGGGTATCATAATAGTACTATGAAAACTATTGGTTCTTGTATGATAAAAAGCTTGTGGTTTCTTAATTGTAAGTTGCTTTAAATAAACTTGTCTATGACTAAATGTAAATGAGGTGGGTAGATGGAAAAGTTACTTGAAGGAGAACTGAAAAACAGGAGCCGCAACCTAGAAACTTGGGCTGAGGCAGAAATGCTGAATCTAGTCACAGTCCACACCAACAAAAGAACACATGTAAAGAATACACATGCAAGTAAAAATAGAGACAACGCCACTGGCAGGGTGCTAGAGGACAGGTTGTCTGTTTACCAAACAGACAGTGAAAGTCAGGTAGACTATGAAAAAAAAGAGAAGTGAAAATATCCCATTTCAAGAAAGGTCAGCAATTGTTATCGTCCTTACATGACAATCCCTGCAACCCTAGTAAAAATCTACTTTAGGTCACGAATCCCATTCTCACCTTCTCCACCACATCGTAATGAACTGGGAACAAGAGAAGCAGGTCTGCCAGGTCTCTGAGCAGGGTGAGTGACTTGAATGAGTCCCATAAAGATGAAAATTTGTGACCAGAAAGAAGATAAAGTGAGAAATATGTCAAAGGACTGTGGTATGTTGTTTATAGTTGAACAGTGGGCAGAGGTAAACATCATCTGGACTACTTGTAGAAATTTTGTATGAAAAACTACAGAAAAAAAATTAAGAATAAAAAGATTCTAGTAAACTACTGTCAGCTTATCGTTCCAGTTTTGAACCATCTTACTCAGTGCTGTATATGTGGTGTTTACAGCAAGATTTCTGTTTCTTCTGTCATATGAAATCCTTATTTTCTTTACGATTATGGAGGTCAAAGTCATTTATTCGCAGATGCATGTTTTCATTATGAGTATGTGGGGAAAAAAAGCACTTGAGAACATTTTAGTAATGAGTAATATTAACAATGAAATATCACATTTCAAGAAAGGTTTGAGTCTCAAGAAAAGTTTATGGGTTTGCACTGGTTGATTATATTAAGAGCTTCTGTAGAAAAAAAGCTCACTCTTTCATTGTAAACATCAAAATGTGTTTGTCTATGCAAATCTGACACCAGCATCTCTCATTGTTTATTTGCCGACATGGATCATTATAATGAAGTTTGACCGGCAACTCAGAATCTTTCTTTTCATGAAAAGACTTGTCAATCTACAAAAAAAACAATGATAAATGTACATCGATAGAGCACAACAAATATGGTAAATGGAAGCTCTATTATCATAAGTTTATGGATGTTTTTTTTTACTTTAAAACACAGAACAATGCAATGCATAATTCAAATCAGAGAAAAACACCTGTTAAAAATCAATACAGAAAATTCCATTATGTTACATTGGGGTCTATTTTTACTGAACTTTCCTAAAGTGTATGCGAATAAAATTCTTAAAGAAAATCTGTTTGTCATAAGCAATTATATCTCTGCAGAAAACTTGGATTAAACAACTTGATTCATATGGATTTCTTTTGCAATGTCTATTCGTAGCTTGAAAATGATGATTACATAGACGTCAGATGGATGAACAATCTTTATTTGTGCTCCAAAAGTGAACAAAAGTCTTACCCTCTTGCTGGTCCAAACACGTGAGTAAATAATGACAGAATTTTTGGGTGAACAGGGCTCTACGCTTATTTTTCTTTTTAGGAGCGCTTGTGCTC